TCTTTTTCTTGTTCATATTCCTTTTCCGTAGCAAATGTCATCATCGTTCCTTCCTTTTCAATTTCTGCTAGTTTTTTGAGTCTTCTCTTATCTTATCTTCTATAAGTTTATCTTCTTTTTTGCTCCACTTCCATAATTTCCCTTCTACTTCAACTTTTTGAAATTTAACTTTCACAGAGATTCCGTGTTCTCTCTCCTTCTTTGCAAACTCTCGTATTTTCTTTTGAATTATCCTTTCTTTCACAGTGTAATCTGGGTTAATATATATTTCCTGTCCTTTTGGTCTGTTCTTTAACACACTTTTCTTTTTTAGAATTTCCATTTTGTCATTCCAGTTTTTTGTTTCAATAATGCATATCTTTTCGCCTACTTTATATGCCTTTGTCACCTCTATTTGTAGTCCGATTTCCTTTTCAATCATATTTTGTATTGCTTCTTTTAATATTTCTTCATTATCTGTATTTATTTTTATTCCAGTTATTACTAGATTATTCCTTCTTTTGTCTCTTTCTAAGGTTTCTAGTCTTTCTTCCATTTCAGCTAGTTTGTCCCTTAATTCGTTTTTCTCCTTTATCCAACTTTCTTCCTTCTTCTCTATTTCTTGTCTCAGGTTTTGTATTTCTTCCTTGTTTTCTCGGGTTTCTGTTCTTAGATCTGTTAAGTCTTTCTTTAAATCATAAATACCATCCCTTATTTCTTTCTTATTTTCTTCCATCTCCTTTTTTAGGTCTCTCTTCATTTCCGCTAACAACTTTTTTATGTCTTCCATTTCTTGCTTTTTGAGTGGGGTGATTTTTGTTGGTGACCTGCTTGTTACCTTACTTTTTTGGAAAGCTTTATCTTCCAGTGACGTATCGTGGTCTGGTTGGCTCCTTTTACGGCTTCTACTTTCTTTCCTGTACTTTCCTTCCTCTGTCATTTGATAATAATTTACTGTATATGGACATTTACTTGTGCCTATCTGAATTTCCTTAAGCCGTCCCTGTCGTAACAGTGTATCTTATCTTCAGTGCCGGCGATAAGGTCGTCCTCCCAATCGACTTGTCGGAGAGGATGACCTTCTCCGGCGACAACACAACGTCTCTTGTTTCTTTTCGTGCACTTCTTACCTCGTTTTTGCTTCAAACTCTGCAACTGCCCGGGTGTGCCACACTATTATCACACCTCGGCTCAACTATTGTTCATACACCAAACCGACAATATTCTTGTTGTCAACAAACGTGCAATTCTGCTTTTCCAAGCGGAGCTCCTCTCACACGCACGTTTCTGTTGCTATGCCAGGACCGGACTCCTGGATATATTTTATTGAACTTCAGGGACGAAGGAAGTATGTACAATCGAAATAACCTTCGACGAATTTTTTTGTTAACAAGAAATAATTATCTTATTGCTAAAATTTTCTAATGGAAATATGACATCTTTTTAATTTTTCAACGAGATCGTGTTCCAACATAATTAATGGTAAGCTTTTTTGACTACAACACTATGTAGAAACTGTTTATTAAATAAAAGATATTAACTTTAATTTTAATTAATACTTAAAATTAAGACAGAGATTAAAGAATGTCAAAATGAAAATATCCTGCCAAAGATTTGAAGCTCGAAAAAATTAACAGAATCTGGAGTCTAATACCTATTTGTTAACAATGCAACAAAAAAAATAAAATTCGGACAATGCATTTTAAAACATATTTGAAAATTTTTAATACGTTGTCGATGTCGAAACGTAATCGATATTTTTTAATCGAAGTTACTAATTTTCATACATATATTAAAAGAATGTCACTTGCATGCAGAAAGTTAACACCGTTATTTGCTAGATGAGTAACTTTGACAACAAACATAAAAAAATATTTTTTTTCTGAAACCGAAGCGAAAATTGCACCAATAGATATTTATAGAGAAACAGATTTAAGTATTAAATTTAAAATTAATTTTTATTGTAATTAACGGTTTCAGAAAAAATGTAATACATGACTCGTCAGTAAAATGTCCGTACTTGACTCGGAGCCTTAAAATACTCGGAACGAAGTGATGATCCATTTTCCTGACTTTTATGTAAATAACTATTATCTGTACCTAAAATGCTGACCTAACAATTAAACTGTTTACCTCATATTATGTTTCTGATTTTTAAGAAAATATTGCGTACAATGTATATTCTCGCATATATACATACTAATGGACTTATGCATTCTTCTTTGCAGTTTCTGAAAATTCAGTTTGTACTGAAAACATTTATATTTTCTTGTGTTTATAAACTTTAAATGTAATCTAAATATTGTGTTTCAGTTTAATAGTTCTGGTTGTGTTCAAACAAGTGTGGCCAACTTTTCTTACTCGAGGTATTTTGCACACCCACGGTTGCTCAAAGGTTTGTGTTGGGAGCAGCTGACAGGTCTTTGTAAACTAAAAAGAAATATGAGAGTCAAACAACTAGATTTTTTTACGGTAAACATAATTTCCAATTACAAAATATAACAACAAGACTACAGAGATTTAAGTTAACTTATAATTTAACAAATGCAAACTTTTTGATTTTTCAGTATTAACTGAATGACCCAACTTATAATTATAACTAATTAATTCTATGAAAACGGTGTGGTTTCCAAAGAAGAAATAGTAAAAGAAACTATTTGCTCTAACAATAATATAGTGGTTGTAAACAATTAATAAACACATATATGTAATAATTCTGAAGTTGCGATTTCAAAGAATTTTCTTATCGAATATGATCTTAGTAATGTTAATAACGTAAGTGTATATGTATGCGAGACAAAAACAAACCAGAATGTAAAACACTAAACTCCAAATAAAATTTTAGTTCGGGATTGTCAAATTGAATATAAAGCGAGACCTAATTTGTTCTTTGCTGTAGAGAATATAAAAATTGGGGTAGGGTTATTAGGACACAACTTTCCTTGCCCCGGAAGTACAGTACAACATAATGCAACATTTTCAAAAAATTATAAAACTTAATTTTGAGAATTTTATTTTTTACATAGGTTCAAGTAAAGACAGATAGTAATCAAGTGAAGTACTAAAATAAAGGTGAAGGAGCATGTTATTCGTAAGTTTCAAGTGAAATTTTCCTCTTTGTCTTAAACACTTTAACAACTGGATAATTTGCGTAGTGCAGAGTACTTAATGCTAATAACAACAATTCTGTATTGCCAATTTTTTGAGAAAATAAAGTTAGCTCTTATTGATTTGACCAATAAAATACATTTCCTTTACATAATTATTATTACATTTAGCAAAATTTTGAGATGACATCATCAAGTTTTTGGGAGTTGATAATCGGACAAGTTTTTAATAATTTTAAAACGGTGGCAAGATTCACAGCATTGGGTTTCGCAGTTTCAAAGTTAAATTACAAAACATCGTTAGACACAGGCGAAAAATACAAATATTCCTGGAAAAATTATGAAATTTCAATTTCCGAATTATATTTTCTTTTTATGGTAACTCCTATTAATAAAATAAAGATATGTCTAGATTGTTAAAATCAAGTAAAGAAGCATGTTGTACGTGAGTTTTCCAATACAAAATTTTGTGGCATCGTCATCAACATTCGTGCAAGGACACGTATATCAATTTGATAGACGCAGTGTAATACTAATAATATCAGTACTGTATTCCTAAATTGTGGAAATGTGTGTGGAGTGAGCCGTTCCTGGTTCAACGGATAAAGCAACCCGACTCATTCAATTTTACAATTCTTGATTTATTCAAAAAAAATAAATTGACTGATTCATTAATTTTTTTGAGTCACCCTGTATAAGCAATTCTGAAAAATAGGAATCAGTGATAAATCACAAGTATAGACTCATCATATTTTGCACATTTAAAAAAGGATTTATTAGGCAAAATTTTGAGATGACAATTTTTTTGGGGATAAACAGATATATTTTGATTAGAAATTTACCATACATACTATTTTTTCGTACTCTAGCTTTCATATGGCCCATCGAAAAAATATTAAACTACTCAGTAGCTCGATGGACTCGATTGTAATATTTGTAATACTTCCTTAGCTTAGGCTCTGAAAGTAAAAACATACACAAGTTCATAAACTACAAGTGCAGGAATATGTTATTTTAAAGTGTTTCAGTAATATTTACTACTTATATAAAGTTTTGAGGCGACAACACTGTTCGTGTGGATGATCAGACAAATTTTGGTAAGCGTCCTACATATGAAATTTGATAACAATCGGCTCTAGAAGTCTGACGCACCGAGAAAATATGAAAGTGGCCAGTCACCCGAGGGACTCGAGTACAATACTTCGTTAGCTTATGCTCGGATAGTAAAAATTGGTCTAAAATTATTCAGATTCTTGTTGTTCTTGTAAAGTTGTAAATTTTAATTTTGTCAATTTAATTTTAAGAAAAATGGGGTGAACAGTCGTCGATTTTATCAATAAAATACATTTTCTCATTTATTAATTTTTGGAGTCACCCTGTATAAGTAGTTCTACAAGATATGAATGCACTAAACTTGTAAAGCACAAGTATAAGTTCATTATATTTTGCATATTTTAAATAGGATTTACAGATGACGTCATCAACTTTTTGGGAGGGACTAAATGAATAAATTTTGATTAAGAATTTACCATGATTACAATAACCTTAACGCGTTTACTAGATTTCGGGGTTGTCTTGCAGTTTCGAAGTGAAATTGCTAAATGTTGTTAGCGTTTTACAATCTCATGATATTGCTGATATGCATACAAAATTTGACAACAATTGGTTCAGTAGATTCGGAGATAGACAGACAGACATACAGGCAGCCAGACAACATACAGACAGGTTTTTCGTACTCTAAGTGTCATGAAACGTCCAGAAAACATAAAACTGGCCGTTCGTTCGAGAAATCCTAGGACAATACTTCCTTAGCTTACACTCAGGAACTAAAAACGATTATGCCAAAAATAATTTCTTATAACAAAGCTTCGTAAGTTTCCCCAGCACTATACTGTATGCTTTGCTTTGTTTCAGACCGACGATGCATTCAACGACGATAACCACCGCCGTGGTTTTAGCAACGATATACGCAGCCTGTGCAGCGGAAGAGCACCACAAAAGAGCTCCTTCAGGCTTCACCGGCGTCCGAGGTAAAAAGTCGATCCCGGATTCAGCGTACTCAACCGGTAATTCTGAAAGCGACTCGACGTCCGAACTCAAGGCTGTAGACCTCGTTTCCGACGTCGGAGCCGTCGACAAGAGAGCACCCTCCGGTTTTATGGGCATGAGAGGCAAGAAACCCTATCCAGTATGGGAAGGAACTTACCCGGATGGAGTTTACAAGAGAGCACCCTCAGGATTTATGGGAATGAGAGGCAAAAAAGACATGGAATTTACAAATTACGGTAATTATTAAAAGTATTCTTCCGGACAATGTATTTTACAAAAAGACATTTTGCATACAGCTGAAGACTGCGTCAATCTAACGCCTATTCATAGTCAGTGTTTTCAATGCATTTCCAGTTTCGAAATATTCGTAACCAATTCCATGTGAAACTTGCGAAAGTATTTATGTTCTCATTAGATATATATTTGGATACACTAGTGTCTTAATTTTAAAATCTGCTTCCAGAAAGCAAAAAAACCATTAAATAATTTACAGTTCAAAAAATGTTGATTTATTTAACAAAGTTTTCGAAAGTTTTTTCTTTTTACTTACTGTAACAATAATAATAATCAGAACATCCTTTGATGTGAAGCACCACATACTAAACTCTTTTCTTGTTGTTTAAACGAGAATGAGTGTCTTCCTTACGCTGAATCAAGTAAGGAATCATTACTTCAAATTAGAAAAGTTTATAAATACTTGTTTAGTATGTAAGTATCATAACGTATCATATTACGATACGGGATGGAAAAACTGTCAAATTAGCCAAAGTTTGATAACCTATCAAATATTGTACTATGAAGTTACGACACGAATGTCGTACAACATTTGTTTGTCTTCATTAAAGCTGGGAAAGGTATTTAAAAAATAACCTTTACCATTTAATTTTACATGTATCAGCTGATGACAGAAAAAAATGTTGAAGATTTGGGTTGTTTAGGTTTCATTGTTTGTTTTGTGTTAGTTAATATCTGATGACAATAATTATTTTCACCTGTACAGAAAAACCTTGCTGAAACAGTAGACTGGGCAGTTGAGAAAAGACTACCTTTAAACGTTAAACTAGCAGTTAGTAACTCTACTTCAATGTTAATTCCTCCGAAGTCGAAATCAGACAAAAGGTGAAACTTGCTGTGCTGAAAGAACATTAATCTTAAATCATTCAAGTTATGGCTTGCGAATATTGACATTAAGTATTTGTACATAAAACAGTGAATGATTCCGTTGAGAAAAATAAATTCCGAGCAGTATACGGGTCTTCGTCTATTGTATACCTTGAGGTTCGCTGAAGGATATGCTGAAAGTTTCGGGGGAAAGAATAATATAATGTAATAAAAATAATAGTACATTATGGAACTAGTGGATGAAGTTGAATTTCAACGGCGAGAGTGATTTTTTCACACGAGCGAGTGCAACGAGCGAGTGCGAAAAAGAAACTCGAGCCGTTGAAATTTCTTCATCCGCGAGTTGCATATACTATTTTTTCTAAGAAATTAGGAAATAAATGTTTGTTTATGGTAGGTATTTTATTTTTGAAATACATTAACTGTAATAGAACAATTTGTGCAATTATCACCAATAATATTTACACTTTTATCGTAAGTATTATTTGAACTTGTATCTTTGTTTAAACTTAGTTGGCTGCTTCCTGTATCAATAACTGCACTTGTATCAGATTCGAAAATGCCGCATTGGCAGCATTCAAAATTTCTTCAGAAACTTCGTCAGTCTCACTCATGTTCATTGTTTTCACTTGTGTAAACTAGCAGTATTAAACGTCAAACACTAACGGGTCGTCCAGCCTAGGCGTCATGATTTTCGAAGCGCGCGAAGCGGACGGTGCGGTCGGTGCAGGCGATACGCAGAGACTTTAAATATGTATAGACCGGCTATCACCCTAAATTCTAGTGTATTTTGTTGAAGCAGTTGCGTGCACATGAAACGCCGCCATTGCTGGTCCCTTTCTGTCAATCCTGACCCAACTTAACCTTTAAACGGAACTATCGTTCTCAGTTTTCGAGTTTTCGTTAACAGAAGTAGGAAAGTCTGTTTGTTGGGTGCTGAGTGTGGCTGTTATTTGTTGGTTTTTTCGTTTATTGGACCTAGCTCCTGGTCAATGGTGTTGCGTTTGTTACGACAGTATTTAATAAATTAAGTGAACTTTGAACAATAATGCCAGTAAGCTGCGGTGTACGGTGGTATCGTAATTCGAAACAAAAAAGTAGTGGTCAAAAAGGTATTTTATTTCATCGGCAACACCTTACTATTCCAAATAAACTTGTTAAGATCGTGTTTTAATAACTTTGAAATTGTTGACATTTTAAATTTGGCGCGATTTTGGGACTAAGCAATATGGCGACTGCCGGCTTCAAGTTTTAGGCCACATAGCCGGTCTATACATATTTAAAGTCTCTGGCGATACGCGACACGTTTCGCTAGCTGCGAAACGCTCAGGCTGGACGACCCGTTAAAATCGTAGACGGCCGAGTATTTTTCCACTAGAGGGTGAAATGAAATTTCATCCACTGCCAGCGATGGGAAAATGACAAACTTCAACCTTAATGAGTAGAAAAAATTAATTATTTCCTTCAAAAAACAAATGTCGAAAGTCATTTCGACAGAACTCTCGTCCTCCTCGTCCCTGAACTACACAACATATCCAGTATTTTCGAAAAATTGTAAAATTTGATTTTGCGAATTTTATTTTTGATGAAAACCCCTATAAGTTGAAATAAACATATGTAAATGTGTAATGTTAAAGTAAATGTAAAGGCGCGTGTTACGCGTATGCTTTACAAAATTTGGCATCCATAACATCATCAACATTTTTGCAAGGACAGATACCTATATCAATTGGATTGGTGCATTGTACTTAATACTTACAATAATAACAGTATTGCATGGGAGTTTTCGGGAAAACATAGTGAATCGTTCTTGATTTCATCAATAAAATGAACTGATTGATTCATTAATGTTTGATTAAAAATTTACCATACTAATTTCAACTTTTTATTTACAAAATGTAGGTTTCATTTTTATAAGGTACATTTATTACATGTACATTATAGAAACTTTTTCCTTTTAACTCACGTGTGTTGTACACACGAAGACGACGACCCCTGCATTTTTTCTACTACACTGCACACCTTTTGCGACAGTGTTTCCAAGAACCTTGATTAATGTTCTTTACTCTTTTTCACTTTCCTTATGTTCTGTACCATCACATCATCTGATATTGAAAACGAAATCTTTTAATGTCAAAGCAAGTTCCGATTCAATCCTATTTCTTTCAAAAACATACCCTCTTGCTGTACAAAATTCAAATTGCTTCTAACTAGAATTAAACTATTTATTTTCACATCGACTTTGCTCGAGCAGCATTCGCCAGACCGGCCGGAATGCATTTTTGCTTTTCACTGTTTACATTATGCAAACATTTGCATAGGTACAGATCCAGAAAATATTTGAATTTTCATCATTTTTGCGTAAATTACTTTAGTTTTTTAATTTTAGTGGAATAGAACGATAAATATACATTTTTTTTTAGGAAATAGTCTACAAATCAAATTCTCTCCTAATTTTCTGTCGTGCACATTCGCGCACCAGAGAAATTTAAAATTGTTAACAATTTAAATTGTACTCGGGATATTGCTATCGAAAATTCGAACATAAGTTATGATACGTTTGTAATGATATTCATACGATCTGTCACCTTTAAAAAGTTGGAAAATAAGGAATTGCTCACGGAAGTTGAAAAGTGTCCACTTTCTAACCTATAAATTCCAGGCAATTCAAGACAACTGAATTTTAAATGGGATTTAATTATCATATTTCCAATGATTGCGAATAAATGTGAATTTTTGCATATTTCAACGCCTGCTGACTTACGCGTATTACGTTTTAAATTGGGACATTTTTGTTTTATTTTCAAACTATTTAAAACGATTGTAACTAAAGTAGTGGTACGAAATAAACCCATACGTCGCCCCGGTGCAACACCCACGGGTTTTCTCGAGGGCTTTCTAGTATGCGCGGCCATAATCGGTGACTCATCGTCGGTGACTCATCGTCGGTGACGGCGGCCGGGTACCATTCGCCTGGAAGCGGAAGTCGTGATGGTACTCCAGAAAAACCTCGGAATATCTAAAAAGAAAGTATGAATTTAAAATAGCGGCCACCTGAATAAAGTAATGTGTCGTTTTAAGATTTAGCAACAATTTACTCATTAGCGACCCTTTATTTATTAGCAACCATTTTACTCGTTAGCAACAAGATTCTCGAATGATAGACATTCCATATAATTATTCAATTGATCTAGTTTGCTAAATATTAATTTTGTTAAATTATGAAAATTCAATCCATGTGGAGCATAGCGTAGAGAGACAGTGATTCTGCGATGTGTTGACACTCATACTTGATGAAATCAGTTTAGTGAAAATTTTCTTTGACAAAATCTATCTTAAAAATGTAGGCATTTCTACTTTTTCTAAAAAGAATACCAGCCAGATATTCTCACTAATTTTCTTCGCGCTTTTTTTTGGGCTCTTCACTGGTTAAATTAATAGTTCATAACTTTTATACACTTTTCTCTTGATTTACTAAGACCTTGAAGGTTTCATTTTTTTTTATCCATTTCAATTTAAGCTTTTCCATCACGTATACAAAAAAAGTGTACCCGTAAGAAAAGTACATTTTCTAACTCGTGAAAATTTAATCCACTCGCTACGCTCGTGGATCAATATATTCTCACTCGTTAGAAAACCACCACTTTTCTTTACTTGTAGAACAATATACTATTACTTAGTTATGTTTGTTACATATTAATAAAAAGTAACGAAAATTTGTTAAAGATAGGTATAAACTATTAAAAAACTAAGAAAGATTAAGTTAATAATATGGTAGAAGAAATAAAATAATATAAAGGCATTTTTAATAAATTAGAAAAATTTTGTTCATCAAAAATGATATTTCCGAAGTAAGTAATTATTATCATAAGTCATACGTTGAAATTATTTAGTGATTAGCTTCTGGATTACGGTAGACAAATTAGTTTCGATCTAGTCAGTGACGTTAACTGAAAAACTGAACTAAGAATGTTTCGTTTTGTCTTTTCAAAAATTAATAAGCATGTAGTAAGGACGTAGTAGGCTCGAGGGATACTAAAACCCACAAGCATAATGTAAGAATATATTTCAAACAGAAATGACATTAAACACGCACCCGTTAGACAACGTCTCGTATGCACATTTACATAGAGAATTTGATTTCTGAAATATTAATAAGGGGTACCAGTCGGACAATTCCATGTAATGCATATTTAGTGATCCGTCTTAGCACCATTATACCCACTAATTTACTAATAAGAGACTAACAAATATTGACAGGGAGAGTGTTTCAGAAGAATAATAAAAATGTCCAGAAAAATTTTAACCAAAAATCTTTTGGCAAAACTTTTATTCCAAGGTAAATTTTCACATAAAATAAAATCGGCTAAGACGAATGAATGCATCTGACTGATGGGCTAAAGTTTTTTTATCTGTGACTTTACATATAGTAAAATATTTTTATTTTAATACATTTTATTGAGTTATGTTATTCCTAATACATTTTGATATATGGAAGTACTTTCATAATATAATCACATTTTACCATAATACGTTTTAATAAAATTTTATTTAGACAAATATTTTTGTCTCAGCACGGTCTAACCCTACTATATTGTTGAAATTTGGAATACCTATACTTGAAAGAATGTTACAGTCATTAAAATAACTTAGTAGATACTTGTGCAAAAAGTCATACTTAGAGACAAAGCATTTAGGGTTCCAAGGAAGAAATAAAAATGTTACAATACTGCATTAAAATTCAAAGCAAAATAATAACGACATTTGTATTTAGACATTCTGATTATATGAAATGAAAGATAGGTAACATAGGAATAGGATGATGACTAAATTTACAAATTGGGGGTAACTTTGCTTCATTTGAGAACCTACATAGAAATAAATGTATCGGTATATTATTATTTCTAAAACATGGTTGAGCTATCTGACAATTACAAGATATTACCTTCACAGCAGAAATGTGGGAGATAAATCCCAATATAAGCGAAAACTCTGGTTGGAACATATGTACGACATTAATAAATTTGGCTTTTTTGTGGGTGGATTAATGTATTTGTTTATCTCCGTGGCTGAAGCACAAAATACACTGATATATCGTTTTAAGAGTGGTGATTAGAATTTAATTCTGTTTCTTTTTTTTTTGTATTTTATTTAAATGTTATTACAGTAATAGTCATAATATAATATCATACAAGATACAATCTAAAAACAAGTTAGATTACAACACTAAAAAAGAAAGTAATTACGAATTACTGTCGTCATAACACAAAATAAAGAATCAAATTTATCTGACTACATCACAAACTAAAAACTATCCAAATTACAAAAATGGAAAGAGAAAAGCAAAAAAAAAGGAATTTGTAATTTCTACAAGCACACTGCACAATCACTGCCCAAAGAACTCCTCACCTAAGTAATAATATTTTATTCTTTAGTAGTCTTTGTATTTACGTAGAGAGAGATTCCTAACGATAGACGGCAATTTGTTATATAATTTTATATGTAACTTATTGTTAGCTGAGCATGTCAAACGGTATCTAGGTATGCTTACGTGAGGATGTTATAGTGTTATAGTTATGTCTATGAATGTCACTGTGTTTCTGTAGCACGATTTATTTGCAGTGTGATAAGTGTGACAAATGCCTAGGCACGAAAGAGTCATGATTTCCAATTTCTGAAAAATTGCTCTACAATGCTCCCTATATAAAACCCCAGTCATCACTCGCAACACCCTCTTCTGCATCCTAAAAACCTTGATCGCAGTCACTGGATTCCACAGAGTCACGCCGTATGTAATAATTGAATGGAATAAACTAAAATAAACCACTATTATACATCTTTTTCGGTTAGTTTTCTCTTTAAATTTTTAATAAAAAAGTTGATTCCTGTGAGCTTACTACATTCTGTTACGACCATTTCTGACCGTTATCCATGTCCTAATAACGCGAGATCAAAAAAAAAAAATTAGTCAAAGTTGACCATGGACGAAAGTGCGTTTGCCTTAGATTAAAATAATTATTTATTATATGTCAAGTTGACAGGATAAAATAAAATTAAATATGCAAATTCTTTTTAGAACGTAAAACAAATTGAATCGAAACTAACAGTAAACGAAACCTCTATTTCTAATAGGCTTTTCTTTTTTTTGGTTTTCTCTAAATGATTCTACAACTTTTTTGACAACCTGATAAACATCGCCTATATTCTCGAGTCAGATATTGATAAGCCGTCCAAGAAATAATTTGTGTAGATTGTGAATAAGAGGGGTTTCAGCACAGATCCCTGGCGAACCCCATGCCTTACCACCCTTATAGACGATCTTTCGTTTGAGAAATCGACGCACTGTAACCTATCGAAAAAAAAAAATAATAAAAAAGTCCCAAGTCACTCCCTTAATTTCATCATGGTAAGGTTTATCGAGTAACGTGAAAGACACAGTCGAAGACCTTGCTCAAGTCGCAAAGTGTAACTGCTGTTTGCACACCATTCTCAAGGCTCTCGATGACCTTACCAATCTTGGAAACAGGGCCCCCGATAGATAGATTTTTGCTAAACCCAGATTAATTAATATTCAACAAGAAATATATGTCGAGATAGTCGCCTATGTGAACCGGTGAAATGGATCAGAAATTTTCGTCTTTTTCACTATCGCCTTTCTTGTGGATGCGTATAAAATCCTTGTTGACTTAAATGAGTTAAGAAATCTACCTTCCTCCAGATATTTATTAAAAAGATTGTTAAAGGATCTACAAGATAAACTAAAATCTTTTTGACTATTTTGGCGTTTATGCCGTAGATATCATTACTCATTATATTTTTAGAGCTCTGATGAAGACTTGCATTACGTAACACTTTTACTTTGGCAAATAGTTATTTAGCGTGATGTCTGTGAGTTGTAATGTAGCAATTACAGGCTCTACTACTAAGGAAAAGTAATTAACCAAAAAATTCTACAATTAGATTAGTCGTGAGTTATAACCTGATAACACTGATAGATAACTGCGGAGCCGAGAGGCTTGTCGAAACGAAGCAACAGGAGTACTTACTTGCAAAAACATTTTATAGACGTATGTCTCACAACATTTTATAGCCGATATGTATTTGTTTAAAATATAAAATTCAAGTTATTTTCTTCGAAATGTCCGTAGTTTTCTTTAAAATATCAAAAATTTTACATAATTTTAACAAAAATAACTGTAGATATTTAATTTGTTTTTACTGCGTATTACATAAATATTACATCTAAGTACTTACTGTTAGTTAGTAGACATCGGGATTTAACCCTGCCGGGGATGTTATAAACCCACATCTATTATAATAACCAGCAAAAAGTAAGTAACAACCCATGAGAATAATTTGCTTGTTTTGACAAGAACTAATTATATAAATATCAAATTCATAAAAGAAGCTGTACATGACGACTACATGGAGGTGGGCGATGAGAGACCAGGCCATACAAACATTACCCAGTTAAGTTGAATTTGTACAGTACGAGAGGTCCGACAATTATTAGAAATTTCAAAGACAGACGTAAAAAAATAAACATAATTGTTAGAAACTTTTAGCTTATGTATGACGTCTAAAGTATATATTGCATTTCATTTAGTGTTCTAGACAAACATACTAAACCAGATAGATAATACGATATTTTGGTGTTTTGTCGCGAGAGAAATGAAAATAATCAAGCTTTACTACAATTGGTTACTGATCGATTTTCATTAAAATAACCCAACAATTTGTCACGTACTACGCTAGTGTGTTACACTATAAACTATTTATTTTCATACACAATCAGCAGTTGCATTGATGAAAGCTAACAAGTATGTGGATCCCACATTTATTCATTGCAGAACAAAACAAGCAGAGTAGACTGCTTCAAAAACTATAATTTTTTTATACAAATCTGAGGTGTAAAACTGGTAACAAATCCTCAATACAATCCAAATCCTGTCTTTAGTAATTACTCTTTGTTTTCCGCTATTAAAAGACTGTATGGAAATGCTACAGTTGCTGAATTTTAACGGTAATTTGAGTAACTACAAAAAACAGAATTTTTTAACTGTTTTGATAAATGTTTCAGAGAATTAATTAATACATTAAAGTTAATCAGGATTATTAAAAAAAAATTCAAGTTGTTTTCTTCGAAATGTCCGTAGTTTTCTTGAAACTAAAAATTTACAGCCTTGATTTCTTCTAGATCTAGATTTCCGAAAAAAAAATGTATACTAATAACAACACCTACAAGCGGCGCAGTGGTTGGAGCGTCCTAGAGCAACTGAAAGTTTCCCGCGCTGACTAGTATTAATCTACATATTTTATTTCAGGAACGAGGGAACTTCTGTCTAAATAAACTTAAATCAATCAACAAGAGGTGTCTCAAAAAAGTAAATGAAACAGAATCAAATTTTCTTTTTTATCTAGGAAACTGGATTTGTTTACATATGGGAATTTTTTTGTACACATGTGTGAAAAGTGTATTAAGTATTTATGAGTATATAGTTTGCCGAACTGGCTCAATTTGGTACAATTAATTGTACACAAGTAAATCAGACGTATACAATATCTAAACAAAGTTGTTAAAAGTGTGTTACACAATGTATGTATTTTTCTAATTTATTTACGTATGTTTTTAACTATGTATCTTATGTATTTTAATTGTCAAACCTATGAAGTAATCGATATGCGAGATCCAATTTTCAATATAATATGCTTTGAACAATTTTTACTCAAACAGTAACCCGAATAGAATCAAATATTTGATCTTCTTTTCTCCTTGACTTTGATTTGAAAATATTTACTTACACTGATTGTTTTTAACAGCAGATGAATACATTAAGCGAGCCCCGTCGGGTTTCATGGGAATGCGAGGCAAGAAAGATTACGAAAGTTTGTCGAACCAATATGAAGGCTATTTCGACAAAAGAGCCCCCATGGGTTTCGTTGGAATGAGAGGCAAGAAGGACTACGATGAACTTGTAGAAGACAAAAGAGCTCCGTCTGGTTTTCTAGGAATGAGAGGGAAGAAAATGCCTCGGCAGTCTGGATTTTTCGGTATGAGAGGGAAAAAATACCCATACGAATTCAGAGGCAAATTCGTTGGAGTAAGGGGTAAAAAAGCTAACGATGTCAGTGGAAGTGAATACTACAACAACATCGACTTGAACTCTTTAGGACAAGATCTGGATATAAATCAGCTGATGTTACTTCTAACTGAAAGTGATGGAGAGAGTGATGTTTGGAATGGAAACAATGAAATCGGCCAATATAGCCAAAAATAAATACTTTTAAGTGAGTATTGGTTTGGCTTTTTACTTCTGTGTAAACATAAAATTGTGTTAATGTTTCAGGTTCACACAAGCAACTTCTATTCGTCAAATTCTAGTCAATATAACTAGTGTAAAATAGAAATATTATTATTTGTCAATAATTACTTAATTCAAACTGTTCCACAAACATTGTTAAAAATTTCCACTATAATGTATATTTGATTAATTCAGCTGTACAACAATATGACGGGTGAGTTTCATATAGAATATCAAATGGCTGAGGCCAAATCTGAACATGATTTATTGATGGTTTTCTTAAACTTGGCTTTACCAGTTGATATATAGATTTGATTTTTCCTTATAGGCTGGATTTGGAAAAATCAATAAGTTATTTTTTCAATAAAAGACTTTATTTTTGGGAAATGACTTTGGACTTCATTGCAATAATTATTACTTAGTTTTAATAAATTATATGTACGAGTGTAAAACTGTTACATAAGAACACATATCAATGTACTTTTGTTTTAATTCTAAACTTGTGTAAAGACTTTTTTGGGGAATCATGACGGATTACTTAAGTGTATATTCAACTTCTAATTGATTCTATTCTAATTTATTGTAGGTAGTAACAAAATTATATTGAATAAGTATTAATACAATAGAGTATATTCTGTTATGTATATTTACTGTGACTTAAATAAAATTATTAGAGTTTGAGAATGCAATTATGTATCTTTTACAACCTATCCCAGCGGTGTAGGAATTAATTATTATCAATAATTTTACAATCCCTTTCGTCCTGTTCAATCCTATTGTTAACGTAAATAATGTTTATTCACGATCACCTTTTAAAAGTTTGAAAGGTACCTGCCTGTTACACACCTACTGAATGTGGATAAAAGTGTACAAGCATCTGGGAAACTTTAATTTGAACTTTTGTTCCTAATCATATTGCCAATTTGACGCAGTTAACCATTATTTTTTGTGTTTTTAATATCTACATGTGTGACAACATAATACAATAAAAAACTCAATTCAGAGTAGAACACTAGATGGGTTATTAGTACATTTTATGACGTGCTGACAGTTGGGTCAGTATACATATATAGGCAAAATATAAGTCTAACTCGCCGCTAATTTCTGGACCAAGTAGATAAATATTATTGGCGAAAAGAACCTTTAGATCAGATGTTGATTTCGTCCATTTTCGGATAGATATTATCTTTTTCACTTCATCTGTTTAAATAAGGTCTGGAAATTTCAACATTGTTAAAATGATTATTACCTATTTGTGTGTATCAAATGTAATGTTAATATTGTAAGTCTTAAAGTTTAAATAATTTTTTATACAGAATAATAAAAGTATCAATATTATTGATTCGTTGTAATCGCATTAAATATGTTTGGTGAATCAGGAATGCAACAATGTGCTATATTTGGCTTGAATATTATGTAGTACAGTTTTATTCAAAAAATATTGGTCACTGTCATTCACTATATCTATTGGATAAAAAAATGACTTTTGAACAACATATTGTTAAGTTAAGCAAATCAGTATCAAAAAGAATCTACACACTTCGCAGGCTACGACTAGTTGTGTCTGAAAAAACATTAAGAGCAGCTTATTTTGGATATATTCATAACTGTTTATCATATGCAATTTTAGTATGGGGTCATTCTCATCATTTGTTAAAATTATTTGCTATCCAAAGAAAATGTATTCGCATTATAGCCGGGTTAAATTATAGAGATGACTGTAGGGTATCATTTAAAAATTTATGTATTATGACACTACCATCAGTTTATATTTATGCTTCTCTTAGATATGTGAAAGCTAATCCAAATCAGTTTAGATCCCTGGACCATGAGCATCAAACAAGATATAAAGAATGGCTACAAACAGATTTTCAAAGATTAACGAGAACAAGAACAGCTCTACGGTATTATTGTATTACACTATTTAATGTACTTCCAGTGTCATTAAAAGAGTTACCTGAGAATGTATTTTGTAAAGTTGTCAAAGAATTATTAATTAATAACGTTTTCTATTCTACATCTGAGTTTATTAAATATAAGTTTACGGACATGTGAAACATTTTTTGTAATGATTTTGACAAAATTATTAACACTTTTCAAAAATCTATTTTGTCAAACGATGACTTTGATATTGTTAATATCAAAATATCCGACAGATATGACACTACTGTCAGTAAATTAAGGTTATCTAAATAACGCACATTTTACAAGTTATGACATTAGTAAATGACAACTGCCCAATATTTTTTTGATAAAACTGTAAAACTGTAACAGAAACAAAGAACTTAGATTTAATTTCCATACTATTATTATCCTACATTTGAATAAGCAAAGAATAAAGAAATAAGAAATGGACAACTTTAATCTGAATTTTGAACACCGATAGACGTTTTGAATTATTAAATATTTTGCTTGTGTTCGACCTAGATCGTCCATCAGAAACTGTTATAGCAATGTTGTAAAAACATTTATCTTTACCTTCATGTAATAGATTTCAAAGTAGTTTCCTTTACATACGAGTATAAAGAAAACGTCAAGACAAATAAAATCACACACGAAGAGAATATGTTAAAAGACAACAAACGTCTTTGATGCGAACATGGTTTTAAATTAAATTTTACAAAGCTGTTTGATTTTTAAAGCAAATACGTATTAAGAAATAAATTGAACAAAAAAAGTAACGTTAATACTACATGCTACTTTACAAGATATATTAATATTACAACATACACGAATAAGTATGAAAAACTTAATTATAATAAATGTGTCAGATGAGACAAAAAAATGCGTAACTTTTGTAGACTTAATGTAACACTCAATAAGCTTACAACAAAATAGGTATAAGAAATACCATCATAACAATACAAAACATTTCATACCAAAGAAGTTAAAAAAATATGCATGAAAATTACACCACAAGGCAAACGCAAATTGCAAAATGTCGTTCCACAAAATACGCTAACGTAATGTTTTCATTAGCACCAATTTTTAAATAAATTGTAAATCAGTTCATATCTATTTTTTGACATCTCGTGTAATTGACAAAGAAGCAATATTTGAGGCTTCTTTAGCCTAAATAGAAGTAGGTGAATTACTAGATACGTCAATTTTCAAAGTTTTCTTTAGTCAAATCACAATCAAGTAGTTAACTTGTTTGTATCACTTTTCGTTATGTGTTAATTGTTGGTATACATCAAGTTTACACCAACGAACCATACACAGCTATTATAATAAAATAAATAATAAATACCTCTTCTAGTGGTTTTAATTACCATTTATTCTGATTGTACTAGCATACACTTTTTTTGTTTCATGTGGAGCAAAACCAAGTTGCTTATTTCATTTTCTGCCTCTGAGTTCATATCTGTAGTCAAAAAATAGAACGTCAAGTTTTCGAAATATGTCAAGTATCTTGACATTTCAGAAAGTAATGAACACTATAATAGTTTCCACCAGCATTTAACTATAGAACAGCGATGTCAAGGCTGGTGAGATTAAAGCATATTGGAAAATCACAACTGGACTCTAATTGAGAACTCAATTTAAATTTGAAATAAAGTAAAATTTGGCGACTTTTGTTAACTAAAAGTTGCAAGACCTTTTCCATAATTTTCTAATGTATTTTCACAACAGTTTGCACTTTTTCTTCTTTACAAGCCTAATTTTTTCCAGATGGTAAATCTATTATCTAAAAATCAATCTTACCTGTTGTACTTTAATTTGGTAAAAATTATTATCCTCTGGTAAGATGCGTTTAAGTATTAAGAGTTATTTTCATTTACTAATAATTTATTTCTATCGACTATACAAATACAAATAATGGATGATGAGCATCCATTATTTCGTTCTGCAAATGTGACCCGTCACTATCATCAATTTCTAATTCTCAATCAGATTCCTCCAATGAAATAATGAATGGAGATATGTTCTCAAGCGAAAAATTTCCCATGTGTTTTTTTCAGTGAGCCGAAAGAAGTTCTGTACAATGTCTACTGAAATCTCTGGAGTACATTTGGAAAGAGCTCAAGACATAAATTAGTTGTGTGTTTGTTATAGTGGAATTTACAAAACCTTCACGCCATTTCAATAGGGTTATATTGACAATGGTATGAGTGTATTCTAAGTAGGTGCCTCATGACCACTTTCCTGTAATTTCTTGTCTGTCAAAAATCGTTTTTCCCATAAGTTGTAAAAGGTTGAATCCCATAGTTGTTTTTTAGAAAAAATTTTGAACAATTCAATACCGTGATTACTTAACTTACTGTTGAAGCCGATTGGCTCGGAGCCGGCCAATCAGCTTCAACCACGACGGTTTTCCCCACCACGTGTATAAATAGGCCGTAACCAAATTCTTCCCGTCAAAAGACATACTGAGTTACTGTGCTCTTTTGCCGTATTCTTAACCTTGCTCCTGAAGATGCCACTTACGAAAGTGTGCGAAACGTTGAGCCCAAAAACTCAATTTACACGGTTTCAACCCGGAAAACGATCATGCATTTGACTTTCTTATAGACAATGTGTGTGGTTAGGACAGGTCGGCAAAATTATTAAATTAATAAAAATAAAAATTGTGGAAAGAATTTGATATCATTCTTTATTAGCTAATTGATTACATTTGATGGCTATCTTAGAGCGCTGGTAATTAGGACAGGGCAAGTATATCAAAATCATATTCAAAATTATAAATTATATGATGATATAATATGTTTGTGTGCAATCCGCATTACACGAATTTATTATTACCATACCCAACATACAAGAGGAAAAGAGATAGCTTTATTTTTGAGAAGTTACACCCTTCTGCAATATTTTGTTAAGAAACTATGCGCATAAACATAAAGTCCTAAGGAATGCAAAAATGGAAAGTTTACGTACCGTACAATTGTACGAATGTCATTTTTAAAAATATATTTCAATAATTTTTAGAAGACAAGTGACATTTACGCAAAATTTAAGGAATGCAAAAATTGATTTCATTAATTTTTAGAAGAATTTGATATATGTCTTGATTAGTAATTAATTGTATTTGGCGGCCATCTTAGAGCGCGGGAAATTATACCCAAATATATAAGAGGAAAAGAGATAGCTTTACTTTGATAAAGTATAAGTAAGGAGATATATATTTCAATAATTTTATTTACTTCATTAATTCATCTAAAATAAATTTAAAAAATCATAATGATAATTAAAAGAATATAAGAATTTGATATCATTCTTGATTCGTAATTAATTGCATTGGGCGGTCATCTTAGAGCGCCGGAAATTATACCTAGATATACATATAAGACGAAAAGGGATAGCTTTACCTTGATAAATTATAAGTGAGGAGATATATATTTCTATTCCTAAAATAAATTTAAAAATCTTAATGATAATTCAAATAACATAAGAATTTAATTTCACTCTTGATTAGTCATTAATTACATTTGGCGGCAAAATTATAATGATAATTAAAATAATATAAGAATTTAATATCACTCTTGATTAGTCATTAATTACATCTGGGGGCGAGTAATTAGGCCACTTTCGCTAATGAGCAATTAATTGAAGTCATTACCTTATTGGATCTTAATGAGCAATTAATGAGCAATTAATTGATGTCATTAGCTTAATGGATGACGTCACTCACTAATGACCCAAAGTGCCCGCACTTCTACTTCAGTTTCACTG